GACAGACGGACGGACAGACGGACACACGGACATGGCGAGCACAATAGTGCATTTTTTCCATACATGAGAAAATGCGCTAAAAATACGTGTATATTATTGCAATGTCTGACTGAAGTAGAATTTCATTTTCTTTAATGCACTCTAACATATATATTTATCCAAATAATCGACGACGGCGCGTGAAAATACCACCTAATGCAGGAATAAAATTAAATAACAGCTCGTGACATTAATAACGAAAATTTGTACACTGACGCTGAACCACTAGAAAATTTCACAATATACTTATCGCACTCTGATGACATACTAGTGAAAGATAAATTATCTATTTTTTCACATCTCGAGTTCCATTTAAAGTAAGAAAATGACTGTCATATATGGTAAACGTTCATTAGCGTATGAATAATTTAGCATCAATTTGTTTTTTCGAGATCATTTAGCAGGGAAAAAATTAGATCAGTACTCGCACTGCAGTGAGTGACAGAGAGCGCATTTTCTCGTCCGTCCGTGACGTGATGTCACGTACGGACGGACGGACATGACGAGCACAATAGCGTATTTTTTCCATAAAGAGAAAATGCGCTAAAAAGGAGTGAATAGACCAGAATTTAGTTTTTTTCATTCAAGTCTAGACTGTCGGCGGTGAACGCTCGAATCCAGTCACAGAAGCGGCCAAGTTATATGGTACGGCGAGCATGGCCTTGAACGCTGCCTCCCGTCTTGCGGTCTTGGTAACCGAGCTCCAATTTATTAATTAAAAATGTACTTACGGTTTTACCTGTGCTGAACAACGATATTCGTCATAGATCAAAATATTGTTTATTAAACCGTTAAACAATTTGAAAAGCAAACCCATTGTTTGTGACCTTCAAACGAGCGGCGACTATATAAGGCGACGTGACGCACGCAGCGGCTTCTAGTGTGCCGTGTGAAGTCGGTTGGTTCGTTAGCTCTACAAATCTCCTGTCGACTTCACTATCAATCATGGCGCCCATTCTTGGATATTGGGGTATTAGAGGCGTAAGTATATTATATCAAGCTCATAGCTGATATTTGGATGAAGTTGGGATTTCTAGTGTGGAAATTTCGCTTGATAATAGAGATTCTGGATCTGAAACAAGACTATTGATGCCGTGGCGTGAGTCGTTGCATCTGCAAGCCTAGTCAACCTTGAACAGAAGTGCAGCCTGTGAACGTTGGGCAGATGTTCCGATATTTATTCATGTGCAAATTGTAATCATATGCATTCCTGTACAATGCCACGTTGGTTGACGAGTATTGAATATTCACGTCTCACTTACATCTCATGGAATGGTATCGGATTTTGTGAGCGTTATCAATACATAGTAAGCCATGATGTGTCTGTGTGCAGTAGTTCTCCCACATGCCCTGCGGCTAGACTCTCAGAGGGTTAGGTGCGTAGTAAGTTTATGATGCAATAGTTATCATTCGACATATGCCGCACTTTTGCCCTTACTCAATTAAAATTGTATTGTATTCTTTATATCTACCATTTGTAAGGCTATATCACCACTTGATAACGTGCAAGCGGTTTAGATTTCGCTGGAAGTTTGTAGTGTCTTTTTCTTAAAATATACATTCTGTGCAAGGCCGGCTGAGGAAGATTAATGGGCATTGACTTCGAAGACAATGATTAATTTTAGTCTTGCTACAACGCGCGATAACGCTTTATGCATACAACGGTTACCGTGAGGTGTTGATAGGGTTGCCAAGTATACAGAAGCATCAGCTCGTCTTCCATATGAGAGTTATGATATATGCGAACTCACTGGTTATGCCAAGGTCTCTCGTTTGGTTCTTGTTACGTGACTTACTTCCCTTTTCTCCTTACTTCTGGACGTAATTTTTCGGGGCAGCCGTGAACAATTTCTTGGCAGGGGTAGATGACGTCTGTGATGTTTAAAAATTAAAAATTCGCGAGGTTTGTGTGACTACTACAATGTATTGTAGCTGAGGAGCTATTTGACATAAGCAATGCGATAATGACTCATTGGCCTAGGTTTATTTTCATAATCTACTTCTAATGATGCATAAATAAATGAGATTTTAAAACGTTAAGGTCTCGTTACTCCCGATGTCCCAATTGGTTCTAACAGTCAATGTCCGTTACAGTTGGCCCAGAACATCCGCTACGTCCTCCACTACACAGGCACGGAGTTCGTAGACAAGCACTACACCACTGAGTGGGCGGACGACAAGGAGAACCTGGGTTTGGAGTTCCCCAACGTAAGTTCCTCTTTATTCATAACGTGTGTGTAATAGATAAATTTGCAATTACATTTATTTTTTCAAGTATTTGTCAGTCTACTGAATATTGCTCTTTTTCCAGCTTCCATACACGCCAACCTCCAGGCTTTCCACAAGCGCATCGAGGACATTCCCAGCATCAAGAAATACCGAAGCTCTCCTGAATTCGCCAAAATTAAAGATAAATTCAATTGGCACACAGCAAAGTTCGGCAGTGGAGTCTAATTTCATTTAACTCAAGCCCCCCAGCATCAAGAAATACCGAACTTCTCCTGAATTCGCAAAAATTAAAGATAAATTCAATTGGCACACTGCAAAGTTCGGCAGTGGAGTCTAATTGCATCTAACTTTATCCCAATCATTCAACCATCCCACTCGACCAACATTTTTTGTTTTTGGAATAACATAAATAATTCCATCTAAGTTTAGCACAATAATTCACCCACTCTCTAACAACATTTTTTGTTTTTGAAATAAAATAAAATAAAAATAGTTTTCTTGCAGCCGATGTAAATTTATTTCTCATCCCTTTTGAGAAGAGATCAGAGTTATTTCACTAAATAAATATACCCGACTGACGAGATGCCAATTGCTTGACTATAACAAAAAATTGGCAGTGACCTGTCCCGAAAACGCCGGGACATTATTTGACAAGTTGTTAAGCTTCTTTACCTTGTGGAGTAGAACATTCAACTACGATGTAGTTATGACCCTTTCGTGCTTAGGCATATAATGCCTGCTGCAGCAATGGTCTCGAAATTGTCTCTTGGGACATCTAGAATTTCATACGTTGATTAATTCAGCATTCCGAGACGAGGCATTTGTGTCATACTTCACATCAGCAAATGCAACTAGGTAGACATTTCCTATCAAAATTTTTAGCTGGTGGCGAGCCTGAATTAGGAACCGCCAAGGGCTCGGACCGAACGTAAATCAGCTTCACCCTTCAGTTATTGCTTAGACTGAAGATAACGGGCCTTCGGGAAAAGCTTTATTAAAATTTCGTATGTATTCCAAACGGAATGCTTATCTCGTGAACGAAACTAATTCTTGCACGGCATTTGTATAATGGAGCCTATTTATTAGAGAATTGCATAACGTAGATTGATGGTCGCTTGCCACTTAGGCGGTTACCAGTATTCCAATGGGCGTCTTATCGCGTTCCTGATATCGTGATAACACGAGTCCGTGAGTCACTTGCTCGTCAATTGAACAAAGAGGTACAGAACTCACCGGTTTTTACCAGTATAGAGTGGACATATCTGTCTAATTTATACTCAGTTTGGCGCAAATAATTTTGACAGTTTTATTATAAAAATTATGGGCATACCGCTCCAAGGGAGGCTGATAAGATGAAATAAAATGAACTGCAAATTAGAATAATCGAAAGTACTGAAGAACGTTGCGAAAAATTGACAGTTATTTTTCCAGCTTTTATTGCAATACAAAATTTCCGTTGACTATGTGAGCGAAATATTATGATATAAGCGCAGAAAAGAATGGAAAAATATAACTCAGTACTCACTGCAGTGAGTGACAAAGAGCGCATTTTCTCATCGACGAAAACTTGAGGTCACGGACAGACGGACGGACAGACAAACGGACGGACGGACGGACGTGGCGAGCACAATAGTGCATTTTTTCCATAAATGCGGTAAAAATTAAGAGGTTATATTCATAACGTTTATCCGAAGTCTGAAGTGCCTTAGGTTGATACTGAAAAGGTTAGTGATTACGTAGATGATTATGCATCGCCGGACGTAATTATGAAATGAAGTGGCCAATTATAGGAAGAAGAATTGTGATATGTAGACGTTATCTATATAATTGGTATCCGAGTTAACTATTTATGAGCATTTAAATTCTTAGTCAACATAATCCGAATATACCAGAACTTGTTTATCTCTGATTCCCGAAAGTCGAGATTAGTAAAAATAAATGAAGACGTACGAGAATTGAAAAAAATTAGTGACCCATTCAGCTATAAAAAATTCAATATTTATTTATCAAGGGAAAATTGTATATAGATGTGATGTTTATATGCAATGGACTTAATTAATCACTAAATTTCGAAAATTTGAAGGAACNGGGCCATACTTTCAAAACTCGCCAAGTGAACGTAAGTATTTACGCTCTATTTTCTTGTCTACGATTGATAGATTTTGCTTGAAAGGCCGTCAATGATTGGCTGATGAACTTACGATCTCTTAACTTTTTTTGAAAGTATGGGCCCTGATATGGCGATAGTTCAACGTTGACTCTAACGGCTTTTTATGGAATAAAGTTTTATTTGCCTAATAGACGTTGCTTAAGCGTTGTTTCAACGTTATTTGCTTGGCAAGGAAGAATTACATGAGGGACTAGTGAAAGATCTCAACTTGCGGCATTTGAGTATTCGTAATTATGAAGACAAAAGTGTTCACTTCATCGACGGAAATTTAAGAAGTCGCCGGGGCACAATTACAATCCGTCCATTGCAGGCACAAAGGTCAAAAATTTCGCCTGGGTTATTAAAGCCGTCAAGAACTTACATGCCAGTCTTCAGCGGTTTCTTAACCCTTTACGCACTGAATTATGTTTCAAAAGTGAAAAAACAATCTGAATTACTTTTCAGATCACGCGCAGTCTTTGTGTTGTACTGGCAGTAGCGGCGCGCCTACTCCATCGAACGTCGTTCGATTAATGATTAAAATAATTAATAGTGGTAAGTGATCATTACACTTGCGTTTGCCACACGTTGTTGTAAGTGATCATTACACTTGCGCTTGCCACACGTTGTTGTAAGTGATCATTACACTTGCGCTTGCCACAATTGTTTACTAAGCAACAAATGCCACCCAAGCAGTCATTGTCTTCTTGACAGGCTCCGGTTGTGATGACTTCACTCGCGCGAGTTATATCAAATGGCAGGCACCATAAATTGTAGGTTATCGGTGGGCATCTGAAAAATAGGGTATCGTAAGATACATAATCCCTTGTGAATCAAGTCACGAAAAGTTCAAGAATCGGCAATAGGCCATGGGCCTATTTCTTCAACGCCGACACTTCTATTCTATTCTATAATACTTTTAAATTGTATATAAAGTCTGTGATAATAATTGAGATTCTCGTATACTTCTAGTTTTTAAGTTTGTTCTCGCCTGATTATAGACCGAATTAAATTAGAACAACAATTAAATTAGATGTTGATATTGCAAAAATACAACCCACACAGATATAACATCATCAACCATTTTAAGCATGTCTCAAACAGAAAGACTATAAGTAGACGCTGAAAGGGCTGCTTAGTCTGGTTTTGATAAAATATTATCTTCAATTACATTCTGTATCAATCATTATAGCGACACGACTAGCGCCTACGAGCTGTCAGATACAGAACTGGTGTAAATATCATCACTAAATTTTGAAGTTGATATTCGTGACGTTAATACATACGTTATTGCTTTTTAAATCACTACAAAAAATCACTATTTCACATCAATTTTCTGTACGATGGAGGAAAAAGTAAGTAAGTTCAAATGTACGATTTCTACTCGTACGTTTGGACTTACGGGAAATTGATTTCATGTTCGGCGAGTTGCTTGGTAGAAGTGAGCCTTCCTTTGGGCCAGCCGAGCGACCCTGGGACGTTCACCAGCTGATGGGAAGTAATTCATGTATTTATAAACATCGTAAAATTTGACCAAACATCAGATGTACATTTTCAGGTAAATAGGAAATAGAGACCTTCTGAGCCCAGGTACACTGAAGGTCTTTGGTAAACAATTATTTGAAAGGAAAAACACTCATTATTTTCATGATCTTGATAATAGATTCATTCACTTTACTGACTATGAAAGGCAGATTAGTGAGTAGAAAATTTAAAGTTGTTACTTTAACTGAAAAAGTTTATTTTATAATCCTCCCGCACGTGTAACGCAGGTAAGTTGAATCATAGTGGATGAATTTTCGAATTTTGTTCATTAAGCAAACAAAATTGAAAATTCTGCTTCTTTGCGTAGATCAAAAAGTGAAAACGTGACTCTTGTGATTGTATTAGGAATTTTATGCAATTTTTATGCTGATGTGAACTTAAAACTAATAAAAGCTGATTAGTCATTCATTATAACTGTAAATTTTAAGCGGGTCTCACTTTTAATTCAAGTATCAAATAAATTATGTTTGTTAAAATAATAAGAATAGATGTACGATAACATATCACTTAACTATTCTGTACTATAACCTTTAAAACTCACCGTAAGGCTAACTACCAGCAGTTCAGTCACCGCCATTGTTAGCCAGCGTTGCCAGACGGGTTTTTCCGGACAAATTCCGCGACTTAGTTTTTTTCAATTGCGTTAGCCAGTTAAAATTTATGATAGGGGTACTTCCTAATTAAATTTTAAAACTGCAAAAAATGAAATGAAATTTTTACATCGGAACCTACAAATATACTAGTATATATTGAGTTAAAAGTCTTTTTTGGCCTTTTTTGTATGCGGACTTGGCCGTTTTTAGGCCATCTGGCAACCCTGATTTCGTCACTACGAATTTTGAATCCAAATGGTATTATTAAATATATTGTTTTTCTCTGCAGGTTGGCAGCTTTGAATTAATATTTCTCCTGTTCAGCTGTTGCATGGATTAATTTTACAGCAATCACCATTTTTTGTAGGCACTTTCTGCTGAATTCATTTGACGAAAAAATTTTCGCATGAGGCAACATGGCGTCTATGATTGAATGATCTCTCGAGCATAACTAGACTCTATTTCAAAGAGCCATTTATATTCAAATCTTAATCCTAATACAATGCTCACTTGTGCTATGTAAATGTGAACAATTAATGAATATAATATAAAAAAGAAAATACCGGACCATACAGAAGGCACTTTCGGGACTGAAATCTATACATGAGAAATTTCCAAATGTGAAGGATTGAAGATGCACTGAAAGCCAATTTTTTCATAAACATGGAATGAAATTGTTGACAAAATTATTTAAACCTTCTTCGCGGTCATGTATTTCTTTTTAATTACTAATTCAACTGGAAAGAATCTGAATCTTTAAGACTAGAAAATAGTGCGACATTTTCTACACTTTCAGGAACTTAGAAGCAAAGAAAACGGCAAAAAATTTACCAGGTCTTAAGAATGAAAACTTTTCGGAGTCCAGCTCCATAGTCAGTTCAAAACCTATAAGACAAGCAAAATCAATTAGAAAACTAAAATTCACATTTAAGATAAAAACCTAAATTGACAAAAAATCTACACTCTATTGTGCACGAACTGTGCTCCGGCCCGCATCTATTACAACTGTGAAGGCTGGCGAGACACGTATACTGTACACATTTTCTACACTGTATACATTGTATACATTTTCTGCACTGTATACATTGTATACATCTTCTACACTGTATACATTTTCTATTCTGCACAAACAGTACCTCGGCCTACATCTACAACAACTGTGGAGGCTGGCGAAACTCGTGTTCTGGATACATTTTCCACACTGTATACATTGTATGCATTTTGGGCACTGTATACATTTTCTACACTGCAGAAACTGTGCTCCGGCCCACATCTAAAAAAACATATGGAGGCTTGCGAGACACGTGTACTGTATACATTTTGTACACTGTATACACTTTCTACACTGTATACATTGTATGCATTTTCTACACTGCAGAAACTGTACACTGGCCCGCATCTATTACAACTATGGAGTCTGGCGAGACACGTGTACTGGATCACGAGCCACAGGTGCTCTCTGTCTGCAGGTGTTTGAATTAGTCCTGCCTTTCAATCTTATTTTTCGAGGGGACATACTGGATGCTTCTTAAATGATCTTGTATGTAAAATTATCAATCGTATAATGATGCGATAATAAATCTTATTGTGATATCATACTTCATGGAATAATTCAGGATTTTGAGGTAACTGTTTTTTAAGCGCATTTTCTCATTTACGGAAAAAAATGCTCTATTAAGCTCGTCATGTCCGTTCGTCCGTCCGTCCGTCTGACTGTCTGTCTGTCCGTGACTTCACGTTTTCGTCGACGAGAAAATGCGCTCTCTGTCACTCACTGCAGTGAGTACTGAGTTATATTTTTGTTTGTTTTGAGAAAATTTTGAAGTTTAAGCACTAACGTTTAATACCATGTGAGGAAGTATTTTATTTAAATATGAATCTTTCTTGAAGTTACTGCAACCGCTGTAGTTTTTAGTTAATGCTCGGCGGAATTCATTTAGAACATTTATTTCGTGAATTAATAAACAAATGGCGTGAGCTGCGTGCATAGTTGTTTCTTACTATCGTCTTGGATCCAATTACATTAATGTTCTAGATAATACAAAATGGACTTTGGATACTGAAATTGGCATCAACTTTGACAAGAAGCCCACCGCTGAGCTCGCGGTGTCTGACTGCGGGTCTCAGTTGTTCGGTCAAGTTATTATGTAGGCAGGATTCCTTACATTTCTCTTCTCTGTCTCTCTCGTGCGGGCGGCCGAAGTCTTGTGTAAGCGACCTCTTGTCCGAGTGTCTTCGTTTCTGTTATTGTTACACGTAAATTATTTTGTCCATATTACTTTATATAGAATGGCTAATGTGTACGTAAGAATCTTGTAGCCTATGTAGCGACCATTGCTTCATTAATTATTTGCTCAGCATAATTTCGTCTAATGATTGCCAAGATAATTATTGATTATCCATTTACGCTTGTCTTGGGGTCTGCCAAGACCCATTCTTGTCCACCTGGTGGCTGGGATATGACTATTAGTGCAAGATATTCGATATGTTAGTGCATCTACCCCGGCATACACCACTAACAAAAAGAGTTGTGGCTGTCAACGCCTAGACTGTCACTTGTCAACTATACTTATTCAATGTCAATGTTTTGGGTGAGATATTGAATCAGCACTAATACTTTTTCTGAATGATTCAATTTATTTCGACACTTCTTTAGATCAAATGTACGATTAGACTCGTATTTTCTTATGTTTTCAATAATATACATATCTAATGTTTTCTTATTTCACTCCCACAAAAATTAGCCATTACTAGCTCGAAGAAAATAAGTGAGTTATGATGAGATCAAGTGTTGCACGTTTTCCTGCAACATTATGAATAAGGTTGTATTGCATGGATTGACACTTACTGATGCCAAACTTTCGGCTAAGTTGACCACCTTAGAGTTCCTATCTTTAAGGAGACTATATTTCTCATAGCTGCCTGGTCCATGCATTAAGTTTGGACTCCCTGGTGACTCCGGTAAAATTTTTCTAAAATGATAAAGAAATAGACAAGTTTGCATTAAGGTATCACAATTTTGAATCAAAGAATACTCAATATAAACTCAATGCGTTTCCCGAAGAGAATTATAAGTGATAAAAAGCCTGATTCAGACTCCGGTGCCAAACTTCGCCATTGGTAAGTGGAACTTGTCTTTAACATTTATGAATTCAGGAGAACTTCTGTATTTCTTGATGCTGGGAATGTCTTCAATACGTTTATGGAAGGCCTTAAGGCTGGCGTGGCTGTCCAGACATGAGGGCATGAGGGCCAAGTATCGCTCCAGCGTCTCGAAGAGAAGGAAATCTGCGATCATAACCTGTAAGAGGGAAGCCATTTGGCTTGTAATGCACAGTAACCGTGTTTTTAATTTATATTTAATTAAAGGTACAACTGTTAGCGCAGTTACTATTTGCTCCTGAGTAAAAAATTCGCCGATTTTAACAATCCAGTTAATATAAATTAGTTTTATAGCTTGTCCTCTGGTTTTGCTCACTCGTCATCTCGACATATTATATTTTGAGAGTTGTGAAACTAATGATGTGACCGAAACTTTCTACATAGGAATTCATCTAAGTAACAAACCCAATCTATACTAATTTGAGAAAAGTTCTCAATCCATCGGTTGGCCAGAATGAAACGAATGAACGAGTAAAATAAAATTCACTATGAGATCATCTTTAAATTCGCTGAGCTCTAGATGGAATTATATTTTATTGCATCACGTGTTAAGGATGGTTAGTCAACTCGCCTTGTCTCCGAGAATGTAGTCATTGCTCCCCACAAGCTTGGACAATTTCTTCAGAGTGTTGTCGACATTCTCCATGAAGACAACCTTTTTGGTTTCCTGAAATTTTGAAAGCGGAAATATTTTGAACCCTCCAGTGAAGATTCAGAATCACAATATACCCTCATCGGTAGAACAAACCTGTATTTCAATAGATAATTTTGCATAATACAAATACCAAGAAAATACATTCGACATGATCTGATGTATACGATTCTGGACGTCAAAATATGAAATATAGATATAAAATAAATATAATATATATTTATTATATAAATACTAATGGGCATTGGCATTTGGACTACATATAAGTCTTCTCTTCTATTACATTGATTCCAGCAACTACATTGGAACGACAAGATGAAGAGATCACTAAGTGAAATAAGACCACGGATCAGGCAATAAGTCCAGCAGCTATCTCAATCAATCGTCAGCTATGGAAAGATCGGGTTCCAAAGGCCGGATCCCTTGATCAAGTCACGAAAAGTTCAAGAATCGGCAACAGGCCATGAGCCTATTTCTTCAGCGCCGACACTTCTATTCTATTCTATTCTATTCTATTCTATTCTAAGACTTATCCATTTCGCGAAGCACTTTTTTGCACCTAGCTGTGTGGCCATACTGACCCAGTAAAACGACGTATCTATGTTACATTCAGGAAGTGGGTAACCATTTGGACAGTAAGATCCATTAATTTTTCTAATGTTACAATTCATTACTCACAAAGTCTGGGTCGTAGCATAGCATAATGATGGCTCCCAGAGCATCTCCAATGATTCCTTCAGCCATGTCCAGACGGATGCGTTCATCCTCAGTCGATCCCACCAGGTTATTCTTACGGGCGAGGTACCTCAAGGCCGCGTCAGCCAAGATTTTCATTGGCTGACGTTGGTTACTGCATAGTCTTGTAATAATAATACCAGCAAGTAAGTGTGGATGGTTAGAACGACAAGCCACCTGAGTTTAGAACAGGATAACCTCTTGGGAGTTCAGAATGGAAGAAATCTTAACCTTGTACTTCCCCTGTTAGTTTTACCGCGAGTTTGTATATACGCAACATAAATGATATAAACATCTGCATCTTCAACATCTAAAAATTATCACCGCAAGGTTATAACTTGCTGCTTGCAACCGTATTAAGAATAATTCATTATATGTTGGAAGCGAAGATTGGCGCTAAATAAATCTGAGTGTTATAGCGTCGTGGCTATGATCTTCCTAAATTTTGTCAATAGTTGGTCACTGATTTCATCAAGCATATTACCATATTTAAATTCATAAATTTTGTTTTTCACGGGATGTCGTGGATGTTAGTCGATACTTCAAGGACATATAGTCAATAGTTGGTCACTGATTTCATCAAGCATATTACCATATTTAAAATTGCATTCTAATCCATTATGGATGGTCTGTAGGTAAAAAAGCGAGAATTCAACATCACACTACTTTCGTCAAACTTTGCTTTAATATATATAATAAATTATACCAGATTTGCTTTACATTTATTCAAGCACTCTTCCCAGATCCAAACTATCAGGCACACAAGTCGGCAACACTACTGATAAGATAACAAAACAATAATGGTCATCTAATGATGAGTTTAGTAACAATTATTATTACTATAGATTTTAGTTAATCAAGATTTCTCTGCACTCTTTTAAGTAATAAGGTTGCATTTAATCAAATATTTGGATTCTATACTAGGCATTTATGCCAGAAAATTTAACAGAAGCCATTAGAATTGAATTATATCTATATGAGTATCATTTATAGGTGATGGATAATTGTACGGTTATAAATGTCTATTTTTTATAAATAATGGCGCTCATAAACTCCCTGCACATAAAGAAATAAATATGAAATGGGATGTTCCAAGCTTCCATTGCATAGTAGGCTATGCATTCACATGAAGATCTACTTCGGCTTATCACTACACAATCTCTTCGTTCAGGCATGATGGCATAGGCTATCAAGTCTATGCGCACTCAACATATAAACAAATTATAGCTCTATACAGATTCTTAAACTAAATTAAAGTACTTGCGATTACATTTTTCATTGAATACTCACGCCTCTGATACCCCAATATCCTAAAATAGGCGGCATTTTTATTTAAAAAATGCCAGAAGATCAGATCGTGCAATAACAGGACTAACTAGCCTGACTTCACACTGTATACTAGATGCCGCCGCGTCACGTCGCCTTATATAGTCGCCGGTTGGCGTCCTTCGGATCGCTCGTTTGAAGGTCGCAAACAATTAATGACTGGGTTTGCTTTTCAATTTTGACACACATGCTTTAATGTGTTGGTACACATTTGCAAATACATTAATCAGATATAAACGATTGACTAATTTATGCTCAAAAAAGAGGCCAGACAGATTCTCAAGGCCACGTTTTTCGCGCATTGTGATTTGGCAAATTGTAGAAATACCTGTACAGTGCTCGCCGGCGACAGCGCTTAGAAAAAAAAGACAAATTTTAACATTTGTAATTTTACAAAATTATAAATCACTGCTATTTCATTCCAGAATAATTGATCGGAAATATTTGCCTGTGAGCTATCTTTCACAATTCAATAAATCCATGATTACCTTTTATTTACCTTTTCTAATCTAGGGGAACAAGAAGCAGTTCACGTAGTAAAATTAAGGGTATTCACAAATTTTTGTTTGTTACGTGACAGGCTGGCATCGTCTATTCACAATTAGTGATTAAATATTTTTTTCCCAATGAGAGGCACGGATATCACATGTATTTATAGCTAAACAATTAAGCTTTTTTAAGATATAGGTGCCAAGCTAATTAATGTTTGGTATGGAGCGCTATCGAGGGAACGCTCTCCTGTTCTCAGGTTGATAACGCTCGTAGATTCTTATTATTATTGATCTTAGTATTATTGTATATTGAATCTTGATCGTAGATTCTTCTCGATATTCCGTTTTTCTTCTAACTACTCGTATACGTCGTATGATTTGACTTCAAATGCATGCAACCTCAAATGATACTGTCACAATACGAAGTTTTTTAGAACTGAATAGTTCGCCGGAAAATATAGGACTGCACATTTAAATTGTTTATTGTTCTCCTGGAAATTTGCTGGTTAATTTATGTATCTGATAATTTTTATGCTTATTTAAAGTTTGATGTCTTGGAAATATGATCTTCTATCATCTGAAAGAGGCCTCGTCGAATTTCATTTCGTTGCCATTTCAATTTCATTACAATATTATATCTACTGCCATGAGACGTCTGAAACTTAAATTAATATCCTTAAATTTCAAATATAGGTTATATCGGTATTTATCGATAAATGAGGGACTAAATCGATTATTCAAGCCTAAAAATTTAATTTTTTTTGTAAATGAGATGCTATTTTTGTAACCGATCTGCGCGAGCTATTACTGGAGATGTTCGCTCATTTATGACAATTGACAAAAGAGAAATTTGCTTATATAAAAATGCTTCTTAGACAAAGATACTTCTGAAGCAAATTCCAAGTTTGTCACATTCAGACGCGTAGCCTATCTACCATGCATTTATTTTGTTGCTTAGGTTCTAACTATTACGTTATTGGCTTTTCCTTCCCACAGAATTTTTTTCCCTAGACAAATCGACGATCAATTATTACTAAGTCAAGTTTCATCTTTACTGTGAACGGATTATCCAGTGTTACCGAGGAACACTTTTACTCAGCTCTGGCTCACGTTCTTCCTTTTTAGCGCATTTTCTCATTTATGGAAAAGAATGCACTATTGTGCTCGCCATGTCCGTCCGTCCGTCCGTCTGTCTGTCCGTCCGTCCGTCCGTCTGTCAGTCTGTCTGTCCGTCTGTCCGTCCGTCTGTCCGTGACCTCAAGTTTTCGTCGACGAGAAAATGCGCTCTCTGTCACTCACTGCATTGAATACTGAGTTATATATATTTTTTTCATTCACAAGCCAAGTCAACAACTAAACTTCTATACGTTCCACTATACACTATACGTTCAACAACTATACTTCTATACGTTCCATATAGAGTACTTTTACTGACTGCTTCTCTACTAATTTTCCACCTTCTTACAGCATTATATAGCACTAAATGCATCAAAATCTCAGGTTTGTCATTCGTTCCTTTATCGTGAATATTTGAGCCATTTTCGTGATTGCCTGTCATGTGTAGAATTATCCTGTCTGTCTGTTGAATTAGTTATTTTTTCTTAGCAGTATATCTTCATATTAAGCACTCGCCAGTGTAATGCCTTTAGGGATTTTTTACTGGACGCCATATTTTGCTACTATCGTCTTAACTGCGAGATTGCAATCGCCTTGTCCATCCGGTTTATCATATATATTATATTATATTATATTATATTATATTATATTATATTATATTATATTATATTATATTATATTATATTATATAATTTATTATATACTTCAATATATAATTTTTCAAATTCAACCGTCAAATCGACTGGCCAGATCAACGCCAGTTTCAATTTAATTTTAATAAATATCAGATGCATCTATTTTTGCATTATTTTTGGTCGATTGTGTGAGTCAATCGTAATTCCTGGCACTCGAGAATATCATACAATTTTAAAATTCACAGTGGCTGCATCCTTGGCATAGATGTCACTGAAGCTATTCCAAAACTGGGCTCTCCAAGAATTTAAAAGTAAAGAAAATAGCCAAAAAGTTCACCATTTCTTATAAGAGAAAACGTTTCGGAGTCCAGCTACATCGTCAGTTCAAAACCTAGAACACAGGTACAAACAATTAGTAGCCTAAAATTCACAATCAAGCAATTCACCTAAACTTGAGGACATTAGAACTAAAATCGAAGATAACAGAAATAAAAATGAGATAACATGTAGAGAAAGTACTATCTATTTACAATTTGTAGAGGATCTCCAATATTCAAAGGGGACCGTTCAGTCGTTTCAGAATTGTATTTTCGGTAATAACTTCTAAAATTTAACAGAAAATTTCACTCAACACAAGAAATTAATTCACATTTCATCTGCACAAAGGATCAACGAATTTCGTTGGAAACAGCTCATCTGTGAGAAATATTGATTATCTGGTAATTACTTCTATGATTCAACAGCAAATATAAAAAATTTCGAAGAATTTATTTAGCCCTGGAATATTTTTGTTATAACTTTCATGATTCTTTAGAAATTTAAAAGCGAAGAAAACTCCACAAAAATTCAGCATATCTCTATTGAAAACGTTTCGGAGACCAGCTCCATCGTCAGTTCGATCTAGAACACAAGTACAATCAGAAATTAATAAAGTTTGGATTTTAAAAAATACAGAAGTAGAATAATTTTCATGATTCCACAACAGTTGTATGCTAAGTTTTCCTGTAATAGGCTCATTGAGTTAATTGAAGCATAAATGGGATAGATGACCTTTCATCCTTTTCGGAATTCAGTTTTCGGTGATAATTTCCATGATTTCCGACATCCTCAACTGTCATAGAAATCTATTGAGCCATTTCAAAATTGGGTTCACTAATTTTCCCGGATGTCAGTTCAGAACGATCAAAAGTTATTATAGTGCCTACCCTTGGTGTATAAATTATAGATTACCAGGCTTTTAGGTCTTTTCAGTAGCAATATTAATAATGGACATATTTTTACCCGAGGAGTTTCCCATTAGGATACATTAAGCGACGGCGTAGTTTTTTTCAATTTATATGATTGGTCTGTTTATTTATCCTTTTCAGTAAATTATCATAATATTCATCGATTTTAATTTTGGGAATATAGTGGGATAAATATGCAATATAAAATTAATCAAATCCTTCATCGATAGTAATCTTCAACAAATTATACTTTCGTTGTAGGGATGGGCACTAGTTCTCTATCGGTCGATTATAAAGTTCTGTAA